TCATCGCTCCGTGTAAATGTTGACTATTGAGCTATTAGATTGCACCTTTGAAGTTAAAGGAACTAGGCTTCTCCCGCCCTAATTTCCTTGTGCATGGCGTAAAAAGAATTGCTTTCTAGTGGCGAATACACTAAAAAAATGTGTACCATGGTATCGTGGTATCTGTTGTTCATTCAAAGCACACAGGCTAACAAGAATGTACTAAATTGGTTTGACAATGTATTTGTTTGTTGAGGCATCAGGATATCTAATACTACACCGATGTTTCTTAGCATTACTGGCAACCATTTTGGCTAAGTTGGACCTAAATTAATGCTTTCTGAATTCCAAATCTTTTACGGTACTATGTTGTTTTTCTCTGGAAAAACGTAGTATGCCTGCAAGGATCTGTTTCCAATACTGATGCCATGAAGTAGAATAATGCATCAACATATGCCAGTTAACGCTGGTATAGAACACACACCCAGGTGAATATCCTTTTTTCGGCTAAGTGCTCCGTTCGGCTACACAGATACGTAATGGCAGACGGATTTTTATTTAAAGTCACGATTTTGATACGTACTATGCGCAATATTATGTCTCTTTTCGACTTCAGTTGTCGATAACATCTATGGTTTATAGAGAAAATCAGTGACTAATAGCGTTGAATCGAATGTAACGCCAACCGCTGATACGTTTACGCAGATGTTTTGTATATGTGCAAATGACCTGACAATAATATCCTTTCTTCAGCTTATATGAGTACGATGACACTATGATCTATCCCCTTACCTAGATCAGCCTAATTTTATCCTATATATAGTTATGTATTCGTAGAGTTTGACGTCCCATGCACATTTTCATCACACAGGAAAAACTTCACTTTCGCTTTTGTTTGCAATGATGATTTCCTTTCATTGTTCATACTTCCAACCTGTTCAATAACGTAGCCAAGTTCCTTATCAAACTTGACCAACGTTATCTCAAAACTACAAACCTGCACGCCGTTCGTGTAGCCTAATGGCCTTCGGGTTGCCTGCGTATATCGTAAGACAACAAAATACGCGTGAAGCACGCAAAAATATAACAGTGTAGCGGTAAACGGGAGCAAGGAAATATCACATATATGTACCTCGTCGAGCTCATCTGCAATAATGATTTGTTCAGCTACGCCCATTGTTTTATTAGATTTATTTCTTGATCTATGATGGTGATAATTTATATCTCCGTAGGAGTTATAAGTAGCAAGTTTATCTTTCAAAGCGGTGCGAATCCCGGACCTGTAAAAAAGGCCTATTCGCCTGATAAAGTCACCCAGATAGGGAATCATATTGGAAAACATAATCCGATATAATCGAGTTAAGCATCGTCACTGATGTCAAGAATCACCTGTTTGCTCGTTTACGAAAATTACTGAAATGTTCTTATCTAAAATCATATGACACATATGTCACGGCACATGCACGCTGATCTTGCTGATGATCTTTACTGGTCAACAAAATCGTTAAATATTTACGTGCTGTGTAAACTATTCGAACTAGATCATAGACGTGAAGAAAAAGTATGTTTAATTAAGAAACTATCTATAACCATGATTAGCATAAATAGGCGCGAGCTCACTCCAGCAGGCGAAGTTAGCCTGTGTGTCTCTGAGAATTTTGAATGTCCCTCTATTCAAAGGGTTACAATAAATGTGGCGCACACTACCCCTAGATTTATCTGTATACCCTAGATTTAAACGAACCAAACAAATGGGGTCTTCGCTTTTTTGTGTGTTGTCTCGACAGCTGTCAAATATGCGATGCCCAAAACGACCCTATGGTTTGCAGCCAGTAAAATATGTCATCTTTACTATCGCAAAACTGTTTAATAAGAATTGGAAAATTCGATCCAAGTTAAGGGACTGTTCCCATAAGTTCCCATGCGGTCGAAAAGCTTTTTCAGATCGAATTCCTTCCCTCTGCATACTATAGCATACTATCTCTATAGTTCAAAGGCATATAAAGCTGTCATAGGCAAGCAAGCATTAAAGTTTTGTTTTAGATCCGATCGTACGACTTGCTACAGATTGACTGACGGAAATACAATGTGGATTTCCATTTCAGTATCTGGGTTTGCTCTATGAACGCCAGCAATCGCTCGCATTTTCACTGTGACTGCTATCCGTACCGTTAGTATCGTTTAGACTACGATGAATGATATCTGCTTTTATGACAAGTGTCTACACCTTGAACAAAGACCAAAAAAGATAGTTTCACATTATCATTTACTTTCTAATACATGTGAGTAACGTTTGGCTTGACATACTCATCATTGTTGACTTGGGAGTGTATAACAGGATGTGGTACTCCTGGGAACAATGTAGATCACAATAAGAACATTTGTTTTGTGCTCTCTTGGATCAAAATGCAGCAAACATTGAATAACTGTCTCGATATTGACCAAAAATGATCTTACCAAATACCAAACAATTATAAGATTATGACTATACTTAGGAGAAAACTATGGGGGAGTGACGAAGGAAAACATTCGACTCTGGATCAGAACTGTTGTTGGGACCGATTAGAATCAGTTAATTACTGCCTTTTGTGTTTGCACCATCCCAGAACCTCAGTCAAACTCATCACCACTATTGCATAAAAATATTTAATTATATTAATTACACAAGTAATATGTGCTTCCGTCAACAGCGTGGATAAATCAATGAGTGAATTTTATTTAAGAAACCAATACGCAACTCATATGGCTCTACTAACACAAAAACGAACCGTATCACACATCAACGCCTTAGGTAGTATGTAAAATAGTGAAGTTCAAACATAACTCTATGTGCGTTGAAGATGATCTCGAGAAACGACCCTAATTAGTGAAAGACAAATAACTGTACGGACAAACATATTCTCGCACGGTGACGTGTCCTATATAAAATATTTTTCTTTTAGATATAGCATAATTATTGTAAGAATGATTACTTGTTGTCAAACATGGCACTGCGACTGTAATTCTCTAATGAATGAAATGAAATAATTCCAGAAAATCGAAACCGTTTTCAATTCGGTAAAAGTAATCAAGTCTTAGGCAAACTCCTCCTTAATTCCCGTTGAATTAATGCAAAGTATGGAACCAACATGCTTGCTTCAGGCATTAATCCTCTTTGTAGAAGGCTAAATACTATGGAATTATGGAAAAGTAAATTCTGGCACCGTGAGATCAATATCCTCTACCCGACATCGCTTCTCATGTATCTAGTGTGACATTTAACATTAAGGCCCTGTCTTCTGAGAAAATGATTCTTATACTGCTTTTTAAAGGAGACTTCTCCGATTATACAGTATCGAGTTTGACGAAACTGTTTAGACCATCGCCACGCGTTCGAAACGGTCAGGATCTGTAGCACGACTCGTTACGATGTGGGTGTGCCGATCTGTGCGATCAAAAACGTACCAGATTCCTGCTTGGCCCCGTTGCTTTGTCACCTTTGCCATACAGCGCTTGCCCTAAGCCTGGGCCAAGTAGGTGAAAATCGCCGTTCATTTGCCCATTGTGGCCTGGCAATATTTTTTTAACGTTTACTAACCAGACCCAATTTTGGAACTTCACAAAGTTCAGTCTCGGCGTCAGAGATATGGAGTTCGGCACTTTAAGCAGCGGCTGGTAACACATGAATTACATCTAATTTGTGGATACATTACTACTTTTTGATATTTTTTTTACGTAAGAACAAGTAGTTACGTTTAGCATCGACAGATAGAATAGCTCAATACATCGGGACTCTGTGCAATTAGCTAATTTTTGCGAATAATGTAACATCGGAGCGTCGGTATGATACAGACAAGCTACTCATGAGATAAAGGCATCAAAGTGCAATCAGGATGCAGGGATTAGTAGTTTCTTTGGCATTTAGTCAATATGGCATAATCCGTTATTGTCGGTAAATATTTTGTTAAATCGATTAGAAGTAGAATTTAATCTGTCTTGAAAAGTTCCAATTTCAATCTGATGGCGCTTTCATTATCAAACAATTCTTGCTATTTCGGTGGTGTAATTTATTCTTCTTTGTAAAATAAGAACCTTTTACTGAAACCATACGTTTTACAGTTCGACTCAGCTAATGCATGTGGATCCATAAAGTTAAAGGAATGGCTGGTGGCATCTAAAACTATTCTGGAAAACACCAATTATTATTACAAGTATATACCCGAAGTTGCAATTTTTGGATGACATCTTCGAAATATTTTGAAAAATTGAAAGTTTATCTATTGCAGCGTTCCACAAACGATTGGAACTTTTAAAATCTGTTCTAACTTTTAGAGTTCTCTTTAATTAAACCTTGTACGCTTCGCACAAATACCTTCGTGACTTATCACCAAAGATAGTATACGTTGCGAACCGAAAGTAGTGAATGAAGGATGGAATCAAGTATTGGTAAGATTATGCAGTTAGTACTCAATCCAGGACAACTGTCACTCACCAGTGCGTCGCTTGAAAGCTTCGTTTTTGCTGCTTACGAAATAAAATGCGACATGCCATCTTTGGCATCCCAAGTGTTCACTGAATTTGTTTACGCCAATTTGATAAAAAACACAATTATGGTCATTAGGATATTACGCAACATATACTATGGACTATTATTTAAAATATTGCATTTTGTTTGCAATTACTGCTTAAGCGCGACTTCGAATCAAATTGTTTTTAAATCAGTACCCTTAATCCATGTTATACTCAGGAATTAGCCAATTAAAACTTATCAGCAGTAATCAGGAATATCATGCACTATATCAAGCCTTTGTGCACCGGAAAACTCACTGGTAAGATACCTTAACGAACTATGACTCTCACTTCACCCACATTAAATCCTGTTGATCGCAGTAAATATAGGAAACTGCCTAAAGTTTTCTGGGGTCACTGAACATTTAGTGCCAAATTTTTAACGACATATGTCTCGGCAAGTAGCATGCTGATAATGAAACACAATCAAAACACCTACACTCATCTAGGATTTGAAAAGTGCAAATTATATAGACACCAAAACTTCTATTCCAATTTATTATATGTATTATTCGTGTAGGCATCATTATTTCTATAATCTTCATTGAAATCAATGTGTGTATTTACATTGTTTTGTTAATGCGCAGTTTGTTCGTAACGTATTTCTGCAAAGCCTATCAAAATACATGGCAAACTACCAGTCATAAAATAGTACTATTAAACGAAGCTTCTTCGGTTATTTTCGCGTCATTTCCACTATGGTTGCACCGAGATCCTGTAGTTGGATAAGCTCAGAAGCGCCGTCCTTCAAACGATATTCGACTACCTGATAAATAAGGCCAATAAATAAATAAATTGCCATTTACTAAGCCGCATAAAGATAAATCGATTTGGTTAGGTTTTATTTATCTAAACCAGAGCGATTAAATGCTGCCAAAAAAAGCAGTTATGTCTTTGTTCAGTTATAGAATATTTATTGATTTACTTTCTGTTGAGGCAAAATGCAGACAGAACAAATAGAAAACGGGTGCTAGAAACAAATTAGAGATGACGACTTACCGCAATTTTTTCAAGAAGCTTAGCCTTATTAATGTCGGTTATGGCGTCATCTTCAATAACAACCTGGAGCAGCTGCGTGAGTAGTTGATCCCCTGAGTAACCTTCTCTAATAAACTCCCGAACCTTTTTGGTGAGCCTATCGAGTACCGGCTCCGAATAGAGGTCTCGCACAATCTGATCCGGTATCACACCAGCAATGGACCCTATAAAGAAATTCGTAGAAAGTTACGTAACTACTAATGACATGCTTGGGGTACAAACTAGACGATACTGACGTTATATTGCTGTAATCATACCAACACTCAATAGAAGTAGTTACATAACGGTTTAAGTACTGGGCGTAAAACTCGAAATTATACACTTTCAGGAAAAGCTACATTAAAGCTTCCTAATCCTACGTAACCAAAAACTCCACTTCGCCTTCGGTTACTTCTAAAACTCTGCCACTGACATCTGTTGCTACGACGAAGATCTTTTAGAATATTAGCTGTCATCTCGAAAAGAATCAAGGGGTATTTTGCTTTTAATGTCTAAATTAAATATTTTCAAATGTAATGTAGCAAATAATTAAGAACACAGTTACTAGCAATTAAATAGTATTGTATCGGTTCAAAGTCTTTCAGCAAGTTTCCTAAGTGTAATTACTTTAAACTACCAAACGCAGCCTGTTTCCGTATGTGGTTGTAGAAGTTGAAAAGTTGCAGAAGTCTACCTGACTTCCAGTATATCTACAACTTTTCAACTTCCTGGTCCTTTTAGCTTTCGTAATGACCTCCCATATATAAGAATCGTAGTATGCCTAGGTTAACACAGACATCATTTATAACTGTTACACAAAAGGCAAAAACGCTTGCCTATATCTTCTTTTGTAACACCGGTGGAGTCACGGCAGATTCGATGTGCGCTCTGCAACAGGGTCAGGGCTCGTCTCATATCACCTTCGGACACCTCAATCAAGAAGCAAAGGTCTGATTTTCTATTGGCGAAAGAAACGCTCTCGATAGCGCAAATCGTGTCCAGTTTATCAATCAGAACCTAAAAACGAAATAGTATTTAAAGCTAGATACAGCACGCGCGTTACTGTGAAAAGCAGAACCTTGCTACCAGATAAAACAGTTGTTGTAGACTCTCCTATGATAATTTATGCCAACACAAAGGTCTTGTGGGAGTTTTGCTATTGAAGTGCAAATTCAAAACTAGACACCAATCTGTAGCTTCGCGATAATTTTTGGGTATTTCGCTTTTAAGTATTGGGAAATAACTAAGGACAAGTCAGACAAAACAAGCGTGTATTTTACCAACAGTTCAGCATTACGGAAATTAAAAAAAAAGGCAAAAGTAAAAGAAAATTGTTGAAATACACGCACATGGGCCAAGAACTCGTACACTAGTGCGGCTTACATCTCAAATATGAGTTATTTTTGCATATGAAACATATTTACTACATATTATCGCATAAAGCACCATGGTCATGCTGTCATTAAATTTTAGATATTTGTAGCTCATCAAAAATTGCGTACGTGGCACTCGCTTCTTGATACTCAATAAAACTGAGGAGCAACTAGTGACCTACGTCTTCGTTCTGTTAACATTAAGTAGCGATGGCCATTATGTGTATGATCCGTGGGTATTAAAGCGCGACGAAAAAGCAAGCACTTGTATACGGCTCAGTACAATTACCTGAGTAGGCAGTGGCTTGAAACGAAATTTGGAGCATCTGGAGTTGAGCGGAGGTATAATTTTGGTAACGTAGTTACAGATAAGACAAAAGCGTGTTGTTTTTGTGTATTTTTCCATTATACGCCTATAATAAAAATAGATTATTATTTATACGTTAATTATAGCTCTATACAAAAATTGGCACCAACCACATTTTGGGGAGTTAATAGGTAGTAATGCTAATGATGATAATAGTCCCAAAAGAAAGGTGATAACAAACGAGTCGCATCAAGTACAGATAACGAGAAAAAAGCTTAGTACTTGGCCTATAATGAATAATCAACTACATAAAAATGTATCTGACGTTATTTTGCATCCTAAAGAAGTCGCTAAGGCACAGTTGGTCTCACCGAAGAGCTGTCTGAGCATCTCGAGTCATTGAGTCAGCCTCGTCGAGAATGACAATCCTGTAACGAATTTTACCCTGATTTGCCGTCATCTGAGAGAACGTTTTTACCTGAATTGAAAGTCCAGTACAGTAAAATAACGCCTGAAGTAACCCTTAACAGCACTACCGAGCATGAAAATCGAAACAATAATTTATTGATGGAGTCAAAAAGCCGATAATATGCAATTGAAAACACTGAATTAAAACTGTTTTACACAGATAAATTAACAACCTGCGAATACATAAATGTATTCATAGTAATGATGCAATGGACAGTAACCAAACACCTCCTTTGTCTCAATAAAGGTGCTATGCAATTAAGTATAAAGCGTATTTGATCATTTGTTGACGTACCTTATCTCGAATAACGGAGATACCTCGCTCATCTGAGGCATTTAACTCAAGTACTCTTTGGCGAAACTCTGTTCCGAAAAGATCCCTAGCGAGAGCAAGGATTGTGGACGTTTTACCGGTTCCAGGCGGTCCATAAAATAAAAGATGGGGCAGGTCACCCGAGGTGAGACATTTCTTTAAGACGGAAACAACTTCGTCCTGTGAAGCTACATCATCGACCGTTTTCGGCCGACTATGGTATTCGGGTTAACCAGAAGAAACGAAGTACGAAATTCATAAGTTAGACGTTACACACAGATTGTTCAGTGCATTTGGAAGTTCTAGATGGAATGACTGTAGCATATTTCATACAAATGATGTAACTAAATCATTTTTTAAGGTGACCTTGATACGATTAGTGCAGATAGAGGCTTACTACTTCTATTACTACTTAAACTTACTACTTTTCAATCCATGGTAGGTCTTTTTCCTGGCGACTCATTTCAATTTCCTGCGATAGGAGCACAATCGTTATTATTTACATTTATTGTAGTTCCATTAGACAGAATCATTTACGCACATATCCTTCATGCTTAACTTACATTACCTGGCAAAGGGACGTAGTTGGGTACACAATGCAGTCACTTCAAGAAACACTACAAATTCGCAGACTGAATCTCAGACACAGATACTGTACCGTCAAATCCATCGAATTTCAGAATCACAGTACGGAATCAGCATTCGATAGTATGTTCCGATACAATTTCCAGGCACTAGTGTAGGTGTTGGTTTAAGGTTCCTGATCGCGCCTAGGCCGCTTTGCATCGAACACGTTGACCAAACAGGTTTTGCTGCGCAAATGGTAATCTTCTAATTTACTAATATCGTTTTGGGAAAAGTCGAATAAACACGACCATCTGTAGAAATACAATGCATACAACCACTAGCATAAGCCACATTGTACAATGGCATGAACAGGAAAATTTCAGCTTCTTCTCTAGTCGGTCAGACTCTTTCTGGAGCTTAATATAATTCGAAGTCGTCGCGTTGAGGTTCGATCTGACTACCTCCGTATCCGCAACAATTAGCTGTTTAGCCGTCAGCGCATTCCGTTTTAAATCTTGTGCAAGTGATACCATACTTTCAGCAATATGTTGTTGCATAGCATCCTGTTCTTGTAAAATTTGATCAACGTCTTTGGTCTCCTTTCTGCGCGAGTCTGTTTCCAAGTTATTATCCCTGTCTCGCCTACCTAAAAGGTTGTCACGAATTTGTCGATTCACTCGCGTATCACGTCTCTGTCGCACTTCACTATTCGGATACTGGGGAACCTTTAACTGCTCAACAAACTTCTTTTCGGGTTGGACTTTCTCTACTTGGGCCACACCAACAATGTAGGCAACTTTCCTGCGAAGTTCTGCGAGTCGTTCAAGACTGGGCTGTTGGGTATTCTGCTGTTCGAGTACTTTAAGGAGTTCTTCCAACTTTACAACGTACTTCTGAAGGCGCCACGAAAGCTTCGAACCAAGCAAAAGTGCTTCGCACTGGGACAAAAGTCGGCACAGTTTAATCTCATTGTATGTCTTCAAAGTTCGCTGACCACTCAAAGGCTGCATGATGGTGATCTATTGACGTGAATTCATTAACAGTAGTGTCTATAGATAAAAAGTTTAATACTCGAAATGTTGTCGTTTCAGTTCAATCGAAAAGGCTGCCGATTGCGTTCTAAAGTTGTCGTTACATTTAAGACAGACCTATCATCATCGATCATAGTGTAAGTAAACAGTTTTCGCTTTTATCACTTAATCAGTATTCATAAAAAAAAGTTCTGAAAACTGGTTCTTTTTCAGGTGAAATCCTGTGGAAGCATATTGCGGCTTTAGGTGTTGGCCAAGCGATCCGTACAATTCAAGTGGTCTACAGTGAATCATGAGCGAAACAACTACAAACTTCGAACATACTTAGGAATACTCATTATTGAGGAAATGAAAAAAACGTAAAAAGTATATATTAAAATTTGCCGACTGTATCCATTCGCGTTGTAAAGAATACGTAGTCATTATTGGGTGTCGCCATTTTTGAATCGCCAAGGAAAGTTGGAACTGAAAAATAAGCACTATCTCAGATCAATTGACTTCACAGCCAAGGCTACTGTAAACTTCAGTAATTTGTTAACTTACCAGGTAAGTTTTGTTGACTGAAAAGTCCGATATTTAATCAGAAACGAGCTTCAATCGTGAGCGCTCCGTTTGGCGCCAAATTCGAAGATTCAGCTGATTCGAGCATGGATAGCAGAGAGATAGCTCGGCCATAATCATCTTCAAAGCCAAACTACGTTGCGTTTTTATATTTCGCTCAACTTAAAGTTTCAATGCGCTTTTAGCGACGAACCAAGAATTTCAATAAATTACCACTTGAATTATTTGTTTTCATTGAGCGATGTGTTACTTTATTAAGAAGGTGAGCCATTCCTTAGGGGACGGAAAACGGAGCTTTGTTTACAAACTGTTCCACCGTGCTAGCAGACGAGCCACTCACCGTACAGGGAAGGAGGGAGGCCATACATCTTTTGAGTTTGTATATGTGCGAATGGTCCTTGGTGGCACAAAAATAGAGGTGTACATTTAAATCCTCGATTTTGCTGTTTGTCGAAAATCTCATCGGTCTCTTCGAATACAGCTAACACAAGCTAATAATGGCTGCAGCTGAAACAGCAGTACCTCCTACAAATCAACGCAGGAATCGACCTGGCACAAAAGCTGCGGTATGTGCACTTCCTGCACATCTTAGAGAAGTCAGCTACTGAGTCTGTGCTCCAGTGAAAATAGTAAAAGTGACTGAAATAAAGGCACAGTCCTAAATTTATAAGGCTAAATTGCATATGAATAAAATACCTTTATGTCAATTCATATTAAACCTAGAACATAATAATGGATACACCAAAGATGATGAAGTAATTGGTTACCGGGATCGATAATAAAGATTGATCTTTATGGTCGAAAGCAAGAGACGACAGCCGACGGCAGATCCGTAGACTTGTAACCTTTATGATTTGTAGAAATCTCAGAAGATATAAGCGTCTAAAGAATGCCACTATATGCCCAGTGGCTAAATAAATTGTAGGAAGACCGAATGTTCGTTCAGGCTATGATAACTCCATTGGGCTGTCAATATTAGAAACGAACTATCATACAGTAAATGTCTACAGGAAATAACCATACACGTTGCTTGGTTTCGTGATTTAAGTCTGTTTTTGTGTGTAGTATGAGAAACACTTATTTGAGATAATGGGAAATTAAGCTTTTATTACGGCATGGTTAGTATTTAGAGCTATATTCTATATTTAAGAGAAAATGCTTTGTTTATATTGGAAAAAAATCTACCATATGGCATCTAATTCGTTTTCGACGATAAATCCGTTCAAAAATTTTTAAAGTTGACCACTTCGAATTAGAAATTAGCAATTTATCGATGCTTTATAAAATTACGTGATACAGTATATCTAAATATGTGCATTTATCTAATTGTAGCTTATTTAATGAAGAGGCTTATATACTCTGGAACGTTGTCTTTCTTGGCTAATCCAATTAGTAGGCCACCGGTATCATGCTGATTATTATATGTAGCGTTTTGGATGAATGCACCATACCATGTCCGAGTAATTCCTTATGTTGTTTACAACACCGCTGTCAGCCAGGTTTTTTTTATTTTACTAAGCGTTGTATTTAATACAGGATTTCAATGGGTGGCCAGATGAGCCGTTCGAGGAGATGGATTCAACACTAGCAGTACAGCAGTTAATACAACAGACCATTCGAAGGTGAGATTGCGTCAGCTACAAGATTGTTACATATCGTGCACTTTTTATGCATAGATAACGTAATCATATATTATATATATTATTATAACGTTATTTATAGATAACGTAAGCAATTCTTCCTTTGAATTATGGACTGATCCAGAGATCCGTCGGCGGTCGAAGCTATCCTGACACCTCCAGAAAATCAAGATGAAGGCGTATGGAAATACGAGCATCTTCGCCACTTCTGTATGGAACTTAATGGACTCGCAGTTAGATTACAAGTACGTATGTAAGTTATGATATTATCCAAACATATTAAACGTAGCTATTAGAGATGGAATAACCTTTGAGATTAGCTAGTGCTCGAGTAACATACACAACGAATGTTAGAGCCGTCAGTGATGACTGGTAGTAGATTCACGTAAACAAAAACTAAGGAAAAGTACATGAATATTAATGTCACCAAGATATTCACTTCTCTAAAGCGTCTTTATGAAGTATGTGTCTGGGAACTCCTCATTTACATAGAGACTACTAAGAGCATTATGTTACTGTGACCCAAGCCAAAATTTTTCTGTGAACATAAGATATAGACTCGGCTTTCAAAAACTATTCACGAAATTGAAGGTTAGTCAACGGTAACATAGTTGGCGGAGCTAACTGTTAATCTTCAAATAATAGACATGTGATTAATGCACTGTAATGATCTCGCTTCTATTTTAAGGCGGAATGCTCAGCCGAGTCGTGCTCGCAGATGACTGCTACAGAACAGTGGATTTTCCTTTGTGCTGCCCATAAAACGCCCAAAGAATGTCCCGCTATAGACTACACTAGACACACCCTTGATGGTGCCGCGTGCCTACTTAACTCTAACAAATACTTTCCTAGCAGGTTTGTATTGATTATATATGTGTTGGACAGTGAGGTGGGTTTAGTAAGACAGGCTGGTAGGAAAACTCAAACGAGATGCACAATTTACCTCGTTGTTATTACAGTTACCCCGTTTGAGTATTCTCATTATTCTGTTTCAGCAAACCCACCTCACAGTCCAAGGTTATCGCATTATTCCATTATAATGTCCTAGTTTATCCTGTAAGTTTATGGCAAATGTTCCACAACGCCGTATCATTCATTTGGTGCTTCCGTCGCAATTAAGGTTGTACTGTACTGTATCTGGCCAGTTACTCCTTTGCAGTTATCATGGTATCTCAAAATGAGTCAGAACTCACGTTTCAAAATTCCAGTTAATATTAAGTTGCTTGAAGCAAGCTCTGAGAGATTTTCGACCTTCCTATAGAGAAAGGCCACTAAGATGTTATAACATTGTTTTTTAGCTTTGCCAACTTTATATGATTACATTCTGCTGCTGAACGTTGCCATTTTTACAGAGTTTCAATCAAGGAATCCTCAGTAGCGAAATTAGGTTCAATATGTCGGCGAGTTTATCGAATCTTCTCTCACGCGTATTATCATCACCGGGCGCTATTCGACCAATTCGAGACGCAGACTCATTTATGTCGGCGCTTTACCGTGTTCGTTACGAAATACGACCTCATGTCGAAAGAGAACCTAATTGTGCCAATTACGCCGGGTCAGCATGGCACAGTAGGACATGCAGGAGGCTCAGAAGGTGGTGCAGAAAGTACAGCCTAAATATTGCTCTAGAACAGGGAAAGACTGCTTTGGAAGAGAGCCCTTGCTCTCGTGAAAATGAAGTCAACAGACATGCTGCAGCTATATACCCAAAAATTATCTGGTGTGTGGAAATGAAAAAAAGAGATCACTTGTGTCAGATTAGATAAATATATCAATATTTTAAAATAGGGGAGAAGTAAGATGAATTAAACAAAACAATAATTGACACTACAAACGTGTCAGGGACGGAAAACACTGACATGCGTGTATGCTGTACATGAACCAAGTATTTAGGCAAAAGAAGATTTTGATCTGGAGGGTCTGAACGAGTTCATATAACATTGTCGAACAGGTAAAGATCTAAGTGGACCGGGACATTTACGCGTCTATCTTGCTGCAGATTCAATGAACATTCAGATCTATGATTTTGCAACTTGTTCTAGACGAATTCCCTGTTTTCCTTCACTTTTTTTTCCTTCACAAAGTTGATAAATAAAGATGGCTAAACAGCGGAACAAAAGTACTCGACTCCTAACATGGTTTCTAGGAGCGTGGATTGGTGGTTTGCCATTAAAGCAGTATAGACTAGCTAGCAGATATGTTTCAGCCATACCAGATAAAAAAAATTATAATATAACTTTTTTTGCTTACTTAAATACGACGAAAAGTTGGTTTCGCCATATGTGTGTGCATGCATGTCTATATTCGTGTGACTTATCAATTGTAATTAAAATTATAACTCAAATCGTACGTGATCTTAGTTGCAACGGTGAAATTGTTTTAGTAGAATACATATTGTAACTTTTATTTACGACAAAAAACAAAGAAACAGGGTCGCCTCGTTCAAATTATCTGTTGTATTAATGTTTAAACTTATTCTGTTGTATTCGCTTGCCTTGCGTTCGGAAGGCACCTACCTACTGAATGTAGGCAGCGATTTGTTACACTAGTTCGCTTCTATTTATTGAGTTAGTTAATGCGAATTAGCAGACGAACTTTGTAGTTACTCTAGTGAACCTTCGTAAAGTTCTGGAATCACATTGTTTGAACGTATATCCATTCAGCCTTACCGTCAAATGCTAGTAAGATGACCTCCGTCACTAGTATACTGCACCAAGTGTGTGCTATTAGTACACATAACATATGGCACTCCTGGCGTTTTTGCGTACTAAATGGCTAGTTAGTACAATGTAAATTAATATTAATGCAATTTGCACCGGAGATAGCTTGTCGTTACTGGATGGAAAGGAGATTTGACAAACAAGCGTGCCAGTTTCTATTGTTTGAATACTGCTATACTAATTCATGCTCATGCGATGTATTCCAAAGTTATGATTCAAAGTAAATGCATATATTGTTTTTATTCCTAAAACAATAATACTTAAGGCTTAGCATATATTCTAAATGAAGACACCTTTGACATTGTTTATCAATTTATAAATAGCACAAAAGCCTTTCTTTGTCTCAAAAGACAATTGAATAATAATTCTTCCCGTTTATGGCAAGCTTAATACCATAGTCAAAACTCCGCAATTGTAAAATAAATTCATACCTAAACAAGGAAATAGATATAAATATGTACTGTGTTCCGAGGAGTTGTTCAAATTTAGCTGCTGCACTGGTTATCACCGAGATCCATAGAAAATTTTTCAATAATGTTTAAAGCGTCCAACCGCATAAAAGCATGTGGCCGTTTCGGCAAACGTTACGCGAAATAAACTTGAAGTCGGGTAGACATACTGCTAAAAGTATCAATATTTCAACTGTGGTATGTTTTTTCTTCAGTGTAATACACATGTTATTTCTAGAGTAATGGGCGTTTAACGCATCCAAAAAGTATACAAAAGGTTTTTCAATATTTTATTGTAGATTCTGTAGTTTCAGTCAGTCGTTATATAAACCCCTCTAGCTTTACGTGTACATTGTTATCACAGCAATCGACGAACGGTAAGTGTATTCGCTGATGAACTTTTTCAAGAGCCGAAGCAAGACTTTAGTTGGATTGTCTAATGATATGGGTCTGAGTATGCGTTTCCTAAGTATTCGAGGAATACTCGTATATTACAGTTGGTATTTTAATTAATTCGTCTACGATGATAGGATGCATTCCTACGAAACATTGAAGGCCTTTGTGGACGTGCAAATCAGTCTATTTAGAACAAGCATAAAAGCATATATATATATAGCAGTGGGTCGGTCAGTTAACAGACGCTACTTGGGTGTTAAATTCTAATATATACAATTTTCTAATATTTCAAATGCTTACATTACCCTCTCTATAAGCAAATGCATTACTATTTCGATGTATTCTACGTTTTACGGCTAAGATAGAGTAGCGCAATAGTATTTCCAAGAATAAATAATGCATTTTTATAACTTGTATGTGAGTTAAGTGGGGGTATTTTGAAGAAACCTGTATTTAGTCCTAAAATATTAAAAATCAAAAGAACCCGCTCCCACTAATTCTGTGTTTATGCTTGCTATGTTCGAATAAATATTATGAAGCCCGTTACGACTGTTATTAATTGCTCTGTTTGCAACGTAGCAGAGCTTTCTGCTCAGGTTTAACATTCTCTGTATTGTGAACACAGTGTTTCTGAACTGCCTCTAAGGTGTTTTCCGCTAACTTCCCGCTACGGTTTGAATCAAACATGTCATGATGACATTGCGTGACTCTTTTTCTTCAAATCTTCAGGTCTCAGGTAAGTAGTGTGGTCCTCGTGGAGAGAGTCCTTGTGGACTCATTTGTCTGTTGCCATCTAGTATTTGGTGTTCCACGCATTCCCTCCTTACCCCCACTTTTTCTTTTTTATCGCGCTACTAACGATTCCCGCCAAGACACGGGTGAGTAAAACAGCTTTCGAACGGTTACCAAATAAATACCGAGGCTATGGAGGGCTATCCGGTCTAAAACGATCACAGAACGTCAGAGATATTTTATTTATATAGAACCGGCTATAATAAGTATGAAAAGCAAGTAAATGAATTGTCGTTGATACCGTTGTAAACATCAACCGTAACCACTGCCATTGGCCCGTGCGAGTTCAGCGGATGGGTGTACGGTGAGGGGGATGATAAACAACGTAGTTGGCTGTATCCAGCTGCTGCTTTGTGCGCGTACTAAATAGAAGGTTGTGCTGTGGAATTTCAATGAAAGGTACATTCATGGAATCCAAACATAAAAATATCGTTAGTTATTTATTCTACAAATAAATCAAATGTGTACTGATTTTATTAGCAGTAGTTTGGTTCATTGTAACATATGAGATCATAGAACAAAAAGCTCTCAGCTTGCTCGTAAGGTGCTGTCATTAGGTAGGTGATTTGTCGTGTATTTTTCGTGAAGCTGCGAAATGCTGATTTTTCACTTGAAAAATAAAAAGGGCAAGCTATACTCTGGAGATATGTCGCCATTAGACAATTATTTAGTGAATTCAAAAACTTTATACATGACCCCCTCCCATAGTTCATTAGTAGTATTTAAGGTTGTAGAGTAAATAAGTGTTTTCAAATCCCCTGAGTGGTTTCGCTTTTTCTTATCCGATGTTTGCACCGTTTTATTTATCTTAAATTCAGTAGCTGTTGTTTAGGAAATGCAGAGATTATCAATTTTGGAAAATAATACTTCCACTGAGCGCAATGTCACAGCGATAATAGTCTTTCGAAGTATATATTATCCAATTTTGTCCAATTATTTTGAATAATTTAAAACAACAACAGTTAGACAATAATGCTTAACGGGATGAATTCTTAAAAATCATTAACATATAAACTTGCAGATTTTCATTTTTTTTCCCCCACAATATTCCGGTTTTCTATGAATGCTGCCGGGGTTTCTGAGTTCCTGTACGAGCCAATTTTTGTTAATGCCTTATTTACTAGGTTCTAATTTATTGTATATTATTCATTAACTATCATTTTTGTAAGATAGATAAATTTATCTCTAATTTATTCTATAACCAGGCAGTAAACTTGGTATAGTTCTTTCACAACACTTCATTAAATTTAATACCTTGAGTGCAATTCAGGACCTGTTAGATTTTTCGAATACATGTATTGTTATAGGCTGTTATTGTATACCATATCCATGTCACGAAAAAGCATCACTGCCATAACCGAAATACTCTAGCAATAGTAAAAAAAAAAAAAAGCCGTGGTGGAATCGCGTTCAGTGCTTCCGTAGGATCTTTCAAGGTCCTTTGACGTCTAAGGATAAAGGTAACTGGAGCTCGTCTGGGCCTAATTGTTACAGCAGCTTCAAAAGGAGCCTTCAAATGTCGTTTCTAGTGAATGTGACAATATAAGAGTTAAGCTGTTTTGTGTAATAACCTCCTTAATATTTTTTTGTGGAAAATGATGGGCGAGGCTAAGAAGCAGAACGGTACTGAAAGAAAATAAAAACTACAGTTCTAAAAAACATACTGAAATTAACTTATGAACTCGCACATATCTAACTGTAAGATTCTAGGCGGAGTTCGGCAGTCTATTTTGATCTCAGAATCAGAGTTGTTCTTTTACTTAATGTTAATCTAACATTTCGAGAAAGACGAATAGTGCACAAACTCATAGCTGAGCCCAGTGTGACGATTATGCTAAAATGAATTATTTCCTTATATAACGTATGCAGGCAGCTATGCTCTCGCATCTGGGTCGCAGCCTGGTACGCCCTCTGTCAGGTTGTTATGCGAGTCCTTCTCGACTGTTACGTCAAAAACAGGGACTGTACAATAATGGTACAGTAGCTGCACGACGCATAGCTACCTCAGAGCTGCTTAGAGAACTCGGTAAGATAGATATAATTTTCACTGTCCTAACAAATGCTTTAAACGTAAGGGTCGATGTGCTTGGCCAACTACTGCTCGTTAAAAAAAAAAAAGGAGAAATACGTCATAGAATATCCTGTGGCTCAGTACTGCTAATACCATAAATTCGTAATCGAAAGCCAAGTCATTCCATCACCGAGGCATCAGGTATTGTTTTGCTATTAATGGTCATCTATATGGTAATGATTACGGTCTTTGATTAATGAAGTACGTCCTTTGACAGGCAAAATCACTTCCGAACGTAATGTGACTTCAAATCCAAATGATCTTCGCCAGCATGGTAAAGACGAGGGTCCCCATGAGGTAGCTGAACCGCAGGTTGTCGTTTATCCACAAAATAAAGAGCAGGTACAAACTTAAAAGCATATTTGCAAGTAGGTATACATATTAGACTAATACTAACATGTTATTTGTATATAACATGCATAAAGTTTGTTTGTGATGATTAGTTACAAATCCTTGTAAAAAATACGGACCAAGAGGTTTAAACAGACTGTACAACTCGCATCCTGTTTCAAGCATCTCCACCCGAGAACAAATGTCCTTTTTAAAATCGTCTTAGCAAAATGCTATCCAGTTTTGAAAATTAGAAATACTCATTACTAAATCTCTGAATAATAAAGAGATATTGAACTAGCGCAATTGTGCTTAACAAGAAAGTCGATTGTCGCAAGTGAGATCATTGCAAAACTGACATACAACTCGGCAGCTTTTATAACAATTTCATTGTTTCTATTTTAGATATCAGCTATTCTTAAATACTGCAATAAGAATAAGGTTCCAGTTATCCCATTTGGGGCAGGCTCGGGCCTTGAGGGAGGGTCATCAGCTCCAACTGGGGGTGTTTGCGTCGATATGCAATCGTTCAGTAAAATTCTGAGGTAACACAGCTGTTCCAACCTTTTGCAATAAGGTTCCCATATTTTTTGTTATCATCCCAACAAGTGCAAGAATTAGGTTTGCGTCTATTCATTCATGCTATAAAGCTGAGGACAGCGTGGTTTGAACTTTAATTACGTAATAGCACAGATGCAACATGCACCGATATGATTTTTCGACAGAAGGTACACTGAAAGCAACATTTGTCGCTCCATTGATGACGATTCCTTAAAGCCTCTCGATAGCATATTAGATAAGACACTTCCAAATCTAATTTATTAAGGTCCAAAAAAATATTTAGCTCCGCATTACTTCAGGTTCTACTATATATACATATAATGTTTTTACTGTTGATTAAGAGTGAGTCCAGAAGACTTCGATTGCACCGTTGAAGCAGCTGTAACGTGGCGGGCCCTAAATTTCTTTCTCCGAGATCAGGGCCTTTGGTTTCCAGTCGATCCAGGCGCTGACGCATCACTCGGCGGGATGTGTTCGACAAGTGCATCCGGTACGTGCAAGTCTCTACAATGACGTGCATTAAGTATGGCTGCAGTTTCATTACTGCAAAAACAGTCTCTTTTTAACGAAACTAACGAAATAACAGTTATTCAACTGAAGCTTGACCAGTATGTCAGTAGAAAAATAAAGAGATAGTCTGAGTTTGCTCTCCTTCGTAAAAGTCGCTCGACAGCTAACCTTTTACATAGCATAGCAAATTGCCAGGCATACGGTAGTCTCTCACATGAAAATGTCTTCAAATCTCTCTAAATACCTCTTCCGACTCTATTTAGGCACCAATGCTGTCCGCTATGGTACTATGCGTGAGAACGTTTTGAACCTTGAGGTAGTACTGGCCGATGGGCGAATAATCAAAACAGCTGGCATCAAAGGCCGAGCTAGGAAAAGTGCGGCGGGCTACAATCTCACCAATCTTTTTGTGGGATCTGAAGGCACTCTTGGTTTGTACGCAAAACCTCTTAACTAAATGCTGGAAACAGTAGTTGCGATACGTTTCGAGTAAATTTGTAGTTTTCGTAAAGTTATGTAGGACACAAAGTGATACTTCATCATATAAACGTTTAAAAGTTATTTTCGTTTTTGCTTAGATACCAAAATATACATGTGTACCCTCTCGAAATCCGCGCACATGTATACCTAATTTTTAGCCAACATCTTCGTTGTCCAGTGACATTACGGTAGATAGTTCCTGAACTCGTGGTTGTCGTTTTGAAGTAATGTCTTGGCTTTTATCGAAGGTATTATAACGGAGGCAACCCTTCGACTACATGCGATACCCGAAAAGCAGGTAAGCGCTGTTGTGCAGTTCGAGTCAGCGCGCAGCGCCACCGATGCAGTCGTTGGGATCCTCCAGAACGCCGTACCGATTGCGCGGATCGAATTCATGGATGAACTCACGGTCAAAGTTTGTTGCAGTTAAATTTCTACTGTAATAATATATTTTCCGATGTCACCAATGAATATAACAATGGATACGTGTTCATTAGCTGATGACAAGCGAGTTCCCTTGGATTCCATTCACTCATTTACTGCACATCGAAGATTACGAACAAAAGCTAATCTATTTACGCATTGCTTAGATTATGTATGAGATCGTTAGGTACGCATACTGTTTCTGTAATATAACATACACATATGATATTCACATACCGATAGATATTTTAATGACTTAATTTTGCGAATCGTTACAGGCTTGTAATGCATATTCCAGGACATCACTGGCAGATAAGTCAACGCTGCTCCTTGAATTCGACGGCAGCGAAACTGGGGTTCGGGAACAGATTGACACAGCGAAATCCGTTTGCGATGACAATGGAGGAACAGAGTTTAGGTGGGCTGAGGTGCGTAAGCAGATTTTATGAGAAAATCCCATGAAATTTATTCGAGTCTTCTGTGCACTGATGCGTTCGTCCAAGGTATAATTACTGTACGTCTCTAAACAAATAGAGGGGGTGTATCACTTATCATAATGAGGTATAGTTCAGTCTTGTTGAGTAGTTGCTACTGTTTTTTTCTTGTTCTTCGATACCGTTTCAGAGTCCTGAGGAACGAGCTCATCTGTGGAAAGCGCGTCATGCTGTATTCTACGCAACATGTGCAATGGCGCCTAATACAAAATGCTACACAACCGACGTCTGCGTACCAATCTCATATCTGCCCGAGTTGCTTGAGTCCACTAAGAAGGATATTGAAGAAACAGGCATTTTCGGAACCGTAGTAGGACATGTTGGTCTGTATTGCCCTACATAAGGTGGCATACCAAATATCGTTTCATATTCTTTGGTCCATAGTGTGCGTACTATATAACAATCGAGTAAAAGGCATCCAGGATATGTATCAGACATGCTTTTACGGAACTGCTTGTTAGCGCTGTGACCAATTAAATTTTAAAGTGGTATTTCACATGTTTTTTCTTTCAGATTTCGAGCTACAGAATTTAAGAAATTCTTCTAGTGAATGTATACACTGAATACAAAAAGGCTGTTCCTGAACTGTTTATTATTGTCATATTTAGCGTGAAAATGTTTTTCTTTGGAGCCAAGTTAGTCTAACGTAAAGTAGTTTCAGTTTCTGAAAAATAAAATACCGCATTTTATGTGGTTATCTAAAAGACATTTTGGGAGCAGTTTGTGCATAACTAAAACTGAACTGTCCTAAAATTTTCACTGGTCACTTGAGATTTCTCATAAAATAGAAAATTACCTAACGCCAGAGGATTTACTGTAGAGGATCTCAAGATTATTTATATACTCGTCTATCACGTATACGGGAAATTCTTAACCCATCGATCGTTTGTTTGAAAAAACGATCTAGCTCTAAAATATATAACTATCCAAGTAAGTCGATTGATTATTTTAGCTACTTTCATCGAATATATTCCACTGTTCAATGGTTTTAAGGTGATGGCAATTTTCACACAATGCTTCTTTTCGACCCAAATGATCCGTCGTCGTTCGCAAAAGTCCACGCTGTTGGCGAAAAAATGGCACTCAAAGCAATTGAGCTAAACGGAACTTGCACCGGGGAGCATGGCATTGGTCTAGGTATGGAACCAGATAGTTTCTATGATTCTGATTTATAAAAAAACTGTCTTTTATCATACGAATTCGTACATTTTTTGATAGTTGGGTGGAAATATGCATACAAGCGAAAACGCAAAAAGGCTCATGCAATTGATGGCAATCGCCGATGGAATACCTGATGTATGTTTTTAAAATCATTTTTTAAATTAAATTGTACCACCATCCAAGGAGTCGCTATTTATTGCACCGCACAAAGTAAGATTTCTACTAAAACTCAAACAAGCGAATGACTATTTCTTGTATAATGTATATAACCTATTAATAGGTATTGTAATGTTTTGTGGCTGTCAGTACTTTCGCAATTGTTAACGCCTATTTTTAAAGTGAAAATATCTTGATAGTCATAACAAAAGAAATGAAAATATTACTGGCTCGCCTGAACGCTAATCAAGTACCGAACTAGTTGATAACGTGTTAGGTCCGTATACTCGATTATTGCTTACAGGAAAGAAGAAGCTTCTACTAAAGGAACACGGAGAAGATTGCGTTTCAGCCATGAAGGCTATTAAATTTGCTTTGGATCCCAACAATATACTTAACCCAACTAAAGTCTTCGATTGAATATCTCATTGGCATTAGCTGTTTTTTATTACTTCAAGTATATGTATCCTAAGATATGAATTGGACATATTAGACGGACTCGTAGATTTATATAGACACTTATAGATGAACTTTTAAAACGTAATAGTATTGGTTATCTTCAATACAAACCCGAGCTGTAAAAGTTACAATGAACGCCTGTAATAAACTAATAGAGTGGACATAAAAATAAGCTGAAAGCGTCTTTTTTACGCAAGAAAAAACTACACATTTTTAATAGTTTCACCTTTATTAGTATTAACGCGCTTTCATCACGTAAATCTTAGAGGTTCGCAGCTTCCACCGTGCAAATTTTTCCCGAAGCAATGTTGCTAGTGCTTTTTGTGTAGTCAAGCGCACAAAATTTTCAAAAACCAGGACTGCTATAGAATGTCAGAGAAATTCTGGTAAAACTGACCAGGATCGAAGGTAGCGCTGAGCACGCCTGCTGCAGTAAATGAACGAACTCGCAACATTCACAAATGTTCGACAAACCACCAATGGTGCACGAAAGTTGCTTGTCTGCGAATATTTTCAGATTGTGAGAGGGCTCAAGTTCCGATCAAGTTCAAAGTATTCACTCATAACCTGATCAAGTGAAATTTCTTTAAGCAGGAGAAAGGTTTGTCGATTCCTCGTACTTCATAAAATCTTTAGTTGATTGATTATTAATGGCTTTAATTTGGGTTGTGTTGTTAAACGGGATGCCGTTAATGTCGGAACCCTAGAACTGTTTCAGCAACCAGTTCGCTATGGGATTATCCTCTGCGCTGGTATTTTTAAGTAAATCCTAAATTTTAAACACCGAAAATATTGAAGCTAAGCCCGGAGTGAACATTGTTTAGTCACCTACAATAGCCAATCTTTTTTTAATCCTACTGGACGCTTTGGTCCGCAACACTACTCATGGCCCTTTACTGCGGGTTTGGTATATTGGTCAGTATTTTATACTTTGAAATAGTTAAAACAATAATTACAGTATCAAGCAAAGGTTATGAATGATTTTACATGTTTACGCGAAGCCACACAACCTCTAACTGTGTTGTGATGAGGATTCGAAAATGTCTTGATTAGACTGTAAGCAATAACATCTATGAATAATCACTTCCCTGCCTAGACGCTTACGTAACTGAACAAGTTGAAACGTGTCGAGTGAACTTGGATTGCCACCGAAGCAATTTCGGGTTCGGTAGATGCCAAGCGCCGCCTTCAGATATTAAGAGACGGCATCCTAGATAAGCCCGTACGTGCAGGACATGCTGCATGGTTAGATCATGTGTCGACAAGCGTAGCACATAAACTCATCTCGTCGTTCACTGGTCTTCCTCCGCACGATGACGTTGTAGCTGTCATTGGCGCCGCCCCACATAGTGTGCCTGAACGAAAAGAGTCATTCGTAAGGGCACGCCGAGAAGGCAACCGCCATACGACGCACCTGAGGTAGTCCTTCTCTTCCGCAAAAAAAAACTGGTGAGGTCGTGCTGCGTCTTTTAACCTTGACATTTTTCTACACAAAAAATATAGCGATCCTCTAAGAACAAAAGAGGACGCTTCAAAAGTTAGCAAAGTGAAGTGGTGGCGATACACAACGTCGAACTGTGTTGGCCTCGTTTGTTTCGCTTGTCGTACTTGAAGTAAAGAAAGGCCCACTTTTACGATGCTTCCTTCAGTAAACGCGAGAGCAGCCGCTGCAACAGCCTCTGCAAAAGGCAGTCGTTCACGATCTGGTGTTCAACCAAAGACGTTCCGCGGACGGACTCGACCAAATTTGCCTTTGTCATCGAAGTAAGTTTACGGCAGCAGAACTGCAAGATCTTTTAATCGTGGCCTGGTCCTTCCTTCGATTGTGAAATAACTGACAATGAGGGTAAACGGTTTTGACTCCACCATCAAAGTCATCTCTTTACTTCGAATAAACAGCTTGTATTATATGCAAATCTGTCCTCCACACTATCTTACGTATAGACAGGTATTACTAAAATACATTATTGATTGGTAACTACGAAGCATTGTTAAGAGTGGAATGATACCTGTTGCATTTAAAAACAAATTCACTTTCGCGCAATGTAAACTCGCGATAAATATATTTCTATATACCTATGTTTTGATCCGGTGCTGGCTATCTTCGAAGCTGTGTACGACAATATTCTGGTGCATAATCGACACGAAATCTACCTTGAATAGTTCACAAAGTATTGTTTAGCTACATACTAGAATTTGACTGAATTCTCCATGTAAGGATGTCTACATTACCGTACGCTGCCTTGGCTTAGCGATACTTTGTACGTACTCAATTTATAAACTCTTTTTTTGGAATAGGTCTAAGCTGTAATTAACAGGAACAGTCCATATATAGAGTAATGGTCCAGTAGGACTAAATACTGTAGCCTATGTCAATGTAAGTTTTTGCAGTTGAAAAATTAAATTGACGCCTATTACCGGAAAGCTGGATCTTCGAACCAAATAAGTTGACTAGTGAAAAGTAGGTGCAGTTGCGTATTCAAAGGTGAAAAATCAGTTTCCAATAAAAGCGTGCTTAATTTAATATTGCTGTTATAGATATAAGACAGAAATGTGCCACTACTTAGCCGAGCAAGGTCGGTGCCCCTTTGGAGATCAATGTACGTACGCACATTCGAGAAGCGAGGTGCGATTTATTGAGAGGCATCCAAAGCATAAGACACTTCCCTGTCGGTAAGTATAGTCGCTCGTAGTCGTTTACGGGTGTAAACGACTACGAGCGATCGTCCTGTTGTCATTTCTTGCTACGCTTACCTGTAAAAAGTATTAGCCTGAAACAATGCGTTCGTAATGCGACATGATTCAATATAGTTAAATGAGGTCTAAAGGACCTGGCATAAAGCAAAGCTTTAAAGTAGTACTGAGGCATTCATTTAATTAAAAGCGGACAATTCATCTCAGTTTGAATCATAAGGTGCATTTCAGCTCATCAGGGTCAAAGCTACCAAAAAACTCGTATTCATAGAAGTCTAACAAACAATTTATTTAAAGTGATTTCAAATTACCTATAAAATGAGTAAATTTTGATCGTGGTAGTTTAACGTCAAATTTTGAAATCCAATCGATCTGATATGCAGCGATTTCTCAACCGTGGGTTTTTGTCCATTTGGCGAGCGATGCAGCTTCATTCACTACAAACGCGACCCCGAAGATATCCTCAAGAGTGCCTATGCTCTCTGCCAGCAACAAGCTGTTGCAGCAGAACCTTCCTTCAGTACGACTCATCTATTGAGGTAATTCATGTCATACGAATATTTACACTATATAACTTAATTTATGGAAATATGTTTTTCGTGGATCTATTCAGGCTCAAAGGCGTGCTAATCTTACTATTCTTTTTTTATTATTAACGGTTTTAGTCTTTTTTTTAAGTAGGATTGCAATAAGTCCTGCGTTCATGCTTTTTGAGTTCATGATAAGATACAATTCTGGAATAACACTATATTCTTACATGAAATTTTGCATGTGCACAGAGGTGAACGAGCTTTGTATAAATAGTCTTTTAGTTAAACAGGAACGACCACCACGTCGGAAATAACGTTGAAAAATGATTCCTTTTCATAAATTTTTGTGTCTACGATCAGGTCGCCGTCGGTGACCCTTACTAAGGTATCAGCGCAGGACTCGAAGGAGAATCTTGCTAATGACGATACCCATCAAGTCGAGAGTCATAGCTGGTCTGCATCCTGGACTGAAGTAGTAAGAACAGAGGAATTATGTACTTACTAAGTTTGTCTTCTGAATGTTTGTTGCCTTCATCGATACTTCATTCTACATTTCGTATATAAATTCTATAAATTATAGGCTTTTGCGTACATGTACAAGCAAGTGACATGTGAAAGTACGTTGTTCATGATGATAGGGATTGTGGACTCTATAATTTATAAATTTAGAGCATAACGTCTTTCAAACAAGCTTCAAGGTTTCGATTCGCTTTTTACGGAAAATTTCGCATTTCTCAAATTGGTGTGCGCATACTTAATCGAGCACTTGCGTTAAGGACGTTACGCGAATAAAGACCTTGCAAAAGCATCTGTTCACGTACACGTCGTTTGTATTATTGACTTCTTTTATTTTTACGTATTGTCATTACTTACATATTTTAAAAATAGCATATTTTCCAGGGAATGCATTGTGCAAACGCTTTCCCATTGTCCAGTGCTGAACCCGTCACTCAGGAGCTACTTCAGGTGCCCAGCGCAACATTGCTATCTGTTTCCTGGCCTGGATCGATGTCGTCTTCGCCTCATAGTTCGTCAGGCTTTCCGACAACACCTTCACTGTCGCCACTGTGTTCCCGTTCTGGACATTCAATGGGAAGCATCTCGAGAACTTCTTCCAGCTCGGACCTTTCAGAAAGCGGAGCATCACTTTGGCCCTGTAATAATTCAACTTTAGCTGTAATACGTTCAGATGACGCGATTGCAATGATAATATGCAAATATTAGGAATGTTTACACGAAATCATTCTGAGTACCTAAATTATCACAATATGACGGCAAAACGAAAAAAACGCAACGCTTAAACCCGAGGTGTCTCGTCAGCGACTACGGTTTCAAAAGCTGATTTTAATACTTTTATTTATTTGTATCATTGAACAGCTCAACTTCACTTTGCTCAAGAAAATTCTGGTCCAGGTCTGGCGCAGTCTCACTCGGATATCTTCTGGGAAACCGGTGTTCCTCGAATCACATCACGCTGTAGTTCCGGTTACGGACAACGTCTGCCGGTTTTCAGGGACATCTCATCGAAGGACGAAGAAGGCCAGTTTAACTTGCATAGCTCCTCGGTGGACTTCAGTTAACCCCATGTTTACCAAGCGAGAGCTGGTACTCGGGAAGTGGCAACAGGGTGGTCGAATTTGCCAAAGAAGAAGTGGCAAATCAGTGTAAACATAGATCGTTTTATTTAGTGGACAGGTATATCTAGGACCGCAGGGCAATGATTGCACCTATATATTTCTAGTAACTCCATCAATGACACATATTGTGATGTGTTTTTCGTTGTAGCCGGATGAAAGTGGTGTTAGAAGTGGACGAATTTCTAGTTTTTAACCCTGAAAAGTGAATATGCTTGCCAAGACTGATTCTACCTATTTGTGCAACGTCATCGTGAGGTGACGTGATAACAATTTATGGACGATGTCATGAACCATTGGTCATGAATTAACTTCTACGCCTTATTTATAACATATATTTACGCCTTTACCTGTCAATTATATTTATATTTCTCTCTGTTTGTGTTGAACGTCTTTTTAGGCACGAAGTTTTGATACATGTAGAGGTAAAATTCACGTATTAAAAAAACGACACTTACTGTCTGAGGAAGTCATTTCATCGTAGCGATGCCTTGTAATACAATTGATCACGGTTTTTAGCCATCATCTACTATAGTTGAAGGATAGAAATGTTGACATATTCGAATGCTTACCTAAGCCATCCAGGTTGTATTATACGCAGCTCTAAAATCCAACCCTTAATACCACGTACTTGATCGATGTGAGCCGCCAAATATCGGTACTTTTCCGGTAGGTTGTGTCGTGAATAGCGAACTGTCACTTAGTTCGTAGTGCCAAGAACTGTATCACATGGTTGTCTATAACGATGAATGTCTTTCTGCTTTTACCAACTATTGTACAATTGAGCACCGTTTGAAAAAATCCAATATAAATTTCGATTGCTTACACTACGTGGGCAGTTTTTTGATAACACAGATAATATAGATACGTGCATTTTTATGGCTATTTATTGACCGTTAGACTTAACAACAACGCACTATAGCCCAATTCCGATCGTATTTTAGTCTTAAAGCGTCTGTAAATTGCAATCTATCGAACGGGTCCCAATGTCATAACGTAAAAATGATCATAATAATCATTTAATAATAATTAATTGTTAATAATAATAGTTATATGCTGGCTGTATCAATCTGTAGTAGCGCATGTCGTAGCGTTGTCAAGTGATGCTATTACTATTATGCAGAATTTAATTACGAGAAAACGCCAGTTTCTCTTGTATATAATAATTGAGACGTCTATTGTCCGGGGTATTGTTTTTAGAAAATACGGACTTCTATTTATAACTGTAAATAAAGATGGTTACATAAATGAAACAAGTAGCCAGTGACTCGTTTCTTTTCTGAACGAATTCATTCCGCCTACGTCGATCGCTTCGTTCGTCCTCTTTGTCTTCATTTGTCTGAATCGTTTAGTCTCTCATCTGTTTACAGTGTTCTCGTAGCTCTAACACAGCCGCGCTAAAAGCCATTTCGCTTTTATCCGCACGCAACATTTCAACTATTCGGTAATGAATATATATACATATATATATGATGAATGAATATAAAGGAATAATCTGAACAGTCGTTGATCTTCATTGTTGTTTATTCATCAACATACAATAACACAATACAGGTGCTTCGTATGGGTCTTCAGCTATCGCAAATGTCACCTTAGGTTAGCGTACCTAGGTCTGAATACGATGCATGCATATTATAGATAGCAAATAAGATTATTCACGCCTATGCTTAGCTTACTATATACTTCAAGCACAACTTTCTGGTCCATCTTTATTATCTTATATAGGGCCGATGCTCCGATCGAACAAACTGAATGGCCAAACCTACAGGTGTTAGATTTTCTAGTGTATGCATCTGTTTAAACTAGCCAAATCTATACGAATTTCTCGAGAACCTTGAATTTGAAATCGCTTTCTGGCCGCCTGGACTCTGTCGTGTGACCAAATCTCCTGTTCTGTAAAGCCAGTTTCCTGGCTTCCAAAGAGCTTATTTCGCCCCTCCCGTAGAAGCGTAATTTTGCCGTTTATTTTTCGCGAATGCCTTCGAGTTCTAATATGACCACTACGATGCCAAGGTCGAGTCGACGGGGCTTCGAACTCGAGTGGGAGACTCGGCACGTAACTCTTGGCTTGGGGGCCTTCATAGCACATTTTGCTTTGGCAGCTTGATATTTACTCGAATGTATGTTAGTTTTAAATGAGCAGCGTTGTTACATAGCCAGTCACCGCAATGTCCGGTGTGATATCCTATCTTCGTGTCTCGTTTCGCGCTCCGAGTTCTCGCTAAATTTACAGCGGTTTTTAGTGAACGCAAACAATTTGTAACGCCATCGAGCAACAGAAACCACAGTTGATTGTTCCCATCGCTATATCTAATTACTATGATAGCGCTGCAATGATGTCCGGCAGCCACTGAGGCCATACTTAACGCTATCCGACATACCGATAGAACCATTAACAGATGGAGGCGGCCGTGCGCGATAGCCGGATGTAGTGGCCAGATTGACCTGCACTAGTGCCGAGGCCAGTATATTGATTGCAGCCCTCAGCCCGATCTATCTTTGGCGCTTCTCAGATCTGACACTGGCAGATGCGACAAGTGCACGTGCGGCAAAGCTCCACCCACCGACATCGCAGGGCCAATAAACGATCGCCGCCAACAGTAGGGGCGCCATCTAGCGACAGCCTAGGAAGAATGGAGCGTTCAGCACCAGGACCTGCGCGTCCACCGGGTTCAGTTGCAGGGTAGAGTGCGCACCAGATCGACCAGAGGTGTGTTTTTCTAATGCTACACGATTGACTTTTTACTTATTTTTTGATTGTGGGTCTGGTGTTCGTTGTGTAGCTCTGTATGGTAACGACAGTCTACCTTGTGCTAGCCATACTCTACGGATAGCCACTTAGTGTAGTGCTTGTGACTGCGTAATGATGTTGTTTCTTTAGCAGGTGCAGGAAAATTAGTAGCGAACAAAAAAGATAAATTGATCTAATTGGTGCTTCATCTATAGTGTGCTACTATTCCTGTTGTATTGTGAGCGGAATCATAAAAAAAAACAAAATAAAAGAAAACACTTTTAGCAGTAAAGTGATAAAAATCTGCTATATATTTACAAATCGGAGTATTGTCGAAATCAGGCGAAATCGGAATATAATAACCGGAATAATACATTTGTTCATTGTATCATATCGAGTATATGAAAAATACCTGATTATGGCGTGGCAGTGCGAAGCTGTTCAGGGTGTTCAGTATACTGTCCGCGGTTGTTATTGATTCCTTGTGGTGACTGAGCGAATAAAATTTAGCTAGACGGATTTAAAACGCACCATAGGCAGAGGAGTGATGCGCGGAAAGATGCGGATGAAGAGATCCTTGGGCTGTCGGTGGAGGAGACTCTTCACCGCGGTGATCTTGATGGGCCTCGCTCGGTGCGCTATCGTTTATACCGAGTTAGCGGAAAGCCGGATCAAGGATTTATGTGTACACAAATGTAGCCAGGTATGATTTAATTCCTAAATAAACATGTTGTTATGTGATTTAGTAATTTTTGCATCTGTTGTTGCTAAACAAACAAACAAACGAACGTAAATGTTGAGAGGCGAAGCAAAATTTACCGCGTGAACGTCAACATTGTAGAGTTCGACTAGCGTTTAGTACGCAAGTATATTAACAGAGCACTAAGCTCAGGTATGGAAGACCCATACGACCGTTCTGCACTGCTGTCCCGATGAATCTCTCGTTATACGGGTTCTTTTAAGAATCTAAAGCAATCGATTCCTAAATGCTCCTATTTTCGATCAACATTTTTGTGTCTGGGTAATTCTATCTACGCGATCAAGTGAACGAGGGGTGGAGGCAACACTCATTATCGTTATGAGGGATTTGTGTTACGTGTGAATGATTGATACAACTGTGATAAGCGCTGTGAGACGTTGTATACATATAGTGTTTGTGTGGCAATTCAAATACAAGAAATAAAATGCGGTGCCATGAACGTTGCCTTTGAATTTAATCTAAAAAAACAATAATAATTTAAACGAAGATAACGATATTTTTCGTGAAACACTGCAACAGAAGAGAACATAATTCGCCCTCTTCGCTTCATCTTGACGTGAACGGATAAAAAAATGGGGCGCATTCGAAGAGAAACATGTTTGAATACTATAGATAGTGATACAGGTATGAAGTCCATCGTTCAGGTGTACACAAAACCGAAATGTCTATGTATCACTAGTAAATATTATGTGAAATTGTCAATAGAATTAACGTCACAGAGCTAGTCTCCCGCCCAAAACATTACTATAGTGCACAGAGGTACACAGAGATGCACACCGCACAGTGACTCACAATACCTACCTGTCAATTACATAGCTAAAGCCAATTAATTATTTGTTAATTTTTATTAAAAAGAATTCTAAAACTAATTTCCCCCATTTTTAAGTTAAACACCTAAGTATATATGAATAACGTATGCAGAGATGGCAAACAACTATGGAAGTACTTTTGAAAATGCACTTCATAGGCCTTGGCCCTCAATTAAGCTCTCAATTGAACCCGATTACGAAAACGATGTATTAGACGACAGTCCGCACAACGTTGCGCTAACCGAGAGATATATGTAGTATCGTTGGACAAGTTGAACTTCTGAGAAGTGGCTACAGCCGCAGTAGAGGACGTTCGAACTTGGGCGTGATCCACATTTGACATAAAGACGATGTCGTGCTTAATCGTACTACGTCTGATAGTTAAGACTATACGCAGTTTAATAGATCAGATACAAATAGACTGGTCAGGAAGCGCCAATAACAACGGAGGCGTTCAACTCAACAGGTGTACTTATAATCGAGCCGATCTCGATATATATGCAGTGACTATCTGTACTAGCATCATTCGTGTACATAGCGGTACTTGTTTCTCACATAAAAGTCAACTTGTAACGATCTACCAAGCATCCAGCGACTGTATAGGGACCGGTAACCGCAATCGCATGCTAAACCTCTAGTTCGGATTAAAGGGTAGCCACTAGTGGAGGTGAGTTATGCTATGCTCAAGAGGGCAATTCGACCATCAAGCTGTAGGGGCCGTAGAAGTATTAGTATATTTCTGAATTCGTTCAAGACGGAATAGGTGCGATTATGTGATGCGAAACTATTCGGAAAGTAGTACATTGTGCTGTGGTTTAGGTTCAAAACCTCGACTTTGCAGCCAGCTGGTCGAGCTTAAAGTAAATCCTGAGCCGCCCAAAGCAATGCTCATTGGACGTAGAACTCGGAACATCTATTATGTGGCGTCGTGGCAACCCCGAGTGGAAATCCAAGTATGACTTACAGCAGAAATTGCTATAGTGAACGCTACTATATTTTTTTGCTCCGTTCAAATTAGTCGACGGTGATTTGTTCCGCGCAGAACGAAATAAGATCATCAAAGACATTGCTTCAACCCGGCCTATGTATAGTATTCATCGACACTCGAGCGTTTTTCACTGAACTTGACCGTTGTTTGTACAGCCGTCGACTGCCCCTTTCTGCCTATGGGATCAGCTGGTAAAGGATTCTGTTACATAAACAGCGTGTGGAGCGTAGCGATTCCTCAATTCAAACGACTAATTTGTCACTATTTTTCGAAGAGCAACCCTGATGCATTGTTGTGGCGTAGAATTCCCACAGTCATCAGCAAATAACGTTCCCTGTAGCATTTTCGTTTCGTCCGACTGTAACAACATCAATCATTCTATCGAATTGTGTTCATGGAGAAGAAATTGCATCTTGATGCGAACGACTTATCATCGCTGCCGCTGCGTTCCGTGTTCGATGTACCCCATCTGCTACCTGCGTGCGACAGGGGTTAAGTGCTCGGTAGAAAGGTCTGTTTCTTGTATCATGTTCAACAAAACTGTGCGGTCATGTAAGTGTTGCCATCGTGGTTCCTGGAATAATATTATTGACGTTAACTATCTCATTTAAACAGCTAGACAATGATCAAATATCGATGATATTTGTTAGATAGTTGAAAAACGTGACGGTAGCGTAGTGATTGATTTTAACTTTTAGCCTTACTTCGAAACTACGGCCGCATAGTAAGAAACGGACAAAAATCTATGGCAATCATGAACACGAATGGCATCTACGTCTGTCTCGTTCTGCTTTCGTCCTGCTAAGGTTAGCCCAAGAGAAACTAATACACTGAAGGATTATACTTGTACACACACAGTGTTGTCAAGATGCTGTATTTCGATTGCCATATAGTTTTACTATCTTCTACTTTAAACATCGGTTCGTTATTAGCAACTATCTATCTTACCTCTCGGACATCGCGCATTGTTCTAAATGAACGAAGAGGCGATGTTGTGCAATCCTTGCTTCATGTTGATCGTCGTCATCGTCATTGTTGATTGAGTCCAACTAAATATATAGATATTTTCAGCTTCCGCAGGGTCCGCTTTATGTCATAATGGAACGAGCTTCTCGATCTTACATTAAACGACTCACCAACTGACGCTCGAGGCTGGAAGAGTTTGGTCAGCGTTTGTGGCTTTTGCTCGATGTAGAGGTTTGTCTGTACTATACAATTCCGTCTTTCCAGTTGTGCTTGGCCTGCTTCACGGAAAGGAAATACCAGCTGGATGACGAGTCGAGCCAGCATCGAACGAGAGCTTTTTTTTCCTTAAAGACGGAGCAAAGACACCGTCCTATGATTGGGCTTTATCCAACTCAGTGTTTCCACTGCTCTGATCTTTGAAATGCGAAACTCTAACAACGCAAATTGCCGCATCGATCCGTTCGTCATTTGCTTTAGCTATTGGTGTTCATATGTAAAGGGAGCCTGCAACAGTCACTGACCTGTTATGCTACGGCCATAAAACGCGTATCAGGAACCTATCCATTTAGCACTGGTCGACCACAGGTACGCCATTGAAACGCAAAGAACGACACAACACCATATCAGTAGAGACCTGTTACTGCCTCTAACAGATTGAAATTTCGTATAACTAGAATAAACACAACGGTTGGGTTAACTATAAAAATAATCGATTCTTTTAGCGAATTTATTTATAGTGAGCGAAACAACTTGATAGAAATCGGCTTCTACCTAGATTTGGATCGTGTACCAGGAACACGACTGTTTGCGTCAACCCGTACATACATACTAATATAATAATGTCAAGCAATCAGTCCGATAGAGGTGATGCGTTTCTGCTGGCCATAGAACATCGATAGCGCAGACAATTTTGTTATTTCGAATGAACCTTTATCTCTCACTGCGAAATGTTTTTTACTTGACTATTCGCGGGGTTCTTGTAAGGTGTACGATAACTGTCAGAGGTTCCAGAAGTAACTTCTTAGCTGCGAAATAGCTCAAAGCTACGACACGGCAGTAGGCAGACTGAAACGTTTCACACTGAGGGGTCCATTTTACGGCGTATTTCCGCAGCCGTTAGATTTCTGGCCATGCAACTGACGCTGGTAACAGAGACCTCAATCAGGTACAGGTACGTGTACCGAGCAGCAAATATGGCGTCTCATACCCTGCTCCTTATAAGCAAACAACTGTTGAATTGAATGATTCGGTCAAAGAAATATAACCTCGTAAGTTCTAGGGCGGGGCTCTGTAGCATCAATTCAATAAGTAAATAAATAAATGGTGTCTTCCCTATTGAGGGCTCTCAACGGATATCAACGTAAACGTAAGAGATTACTAAAAAAAAAAAAAAAAAAAAATTCTTTGTCTCTTCAGTAATAGTACCGTTGATGTGGGTGACCGTGTCATGTTTTTTTCGCTGTTTGTCTATAGCGACGATCCCAGCATGCGACAACCCAGACTCACCATTGACTGATACTATAAACCGATGAGCGTGCAGCGTAACTGCAGCCATCATTTAGAAGATAGATAGTTTTTGTTGGAAATAAAAGCACATAATTGAACATCAACGAATACGAGAAGGGCATTGGTGAGATATTGGTTAATGACAGTGGGAATTTCCTAACAAATGGAAAGGAAGTACGAGCCGATACACGCTATTTCTTAAAACTATTATAATTAAATTCGATGCTGTTTAAAGACTGCATTTTCATGGATTCAATTCATGGCAACATCACCTTGCTGGTTATGAAAATAAAACTAGCACCCGCTGGGTAGTGGACGGATGGTATCTAACGAGTTCTTTGTTGATTCGTTTGTTTCTTTCGGTTGCTGATTTTATGCTGGCCTGGCGTCCACCCCCCGGCATTGAGCAATCATATAATATATGAGTTGTAGTATAACGGCCGGCAGTAGCGTGCTACCGATTTACCTATATCAACGCTAGCCGCCATCCCCTGTACGGGCGGGTAGTAGCTCATGGAACACCAGAAGCCCCACTGCCAACGGCAGTGCCAACGCAGCGACGTCCGCTTCGCTTGAAGAGGTCTTTTGTTGTCAATGAGCATCACTTCCGTTGTCGCGACCACCTTATGCTTCTCTATGGATGTTCCACTCGTACCACAAGCAATAAGAGCGGA